GTTTCAGTATTCGGCGTGTTCTACGTGTTTCAGTATTTGATGTGGTTTAACATTTGGCGTGTTTCAGCGTTTGGCGTGTCTCAGTGTTTGGCGTGTTTCAGTGTTTGATGTGTTTCAGTATTTGGCTTGTTTCAGCGTTTGGCGCGTTTCAGTGTTTAGCGTGTTTGGCGTGTTTCAGTGTTTGACGCGTTTAACGTGTTTCAGTATTTGGCGTGTCTCAGTGTTTGGCGTGTTTCAGGCTTTCGGTGTTTGACGTGTCTCAGTGTTTGGCGTGTTTGACATGTTTGACGTGTTTCAGTGTTTGACGTGTTTGACGTGTTTTAGTCTCTGACTCCGCTCAGGCTCACCTCGTCGAACTCCTCCCCAAAGCCGACGGGTCTGGAGATGACGTCGGAGATCTCCTGGGCCACCTCCTGCTGCTCTGTGATCTCCGCCATCAGGTCGTCCACTTTGTCTATGTCCCTGTGGGGTGGAGGCAGATACAAACAGATTCAGTCCATTCAAATTCTCCTTCCAGGTCAAGAACTTCAAGAGCATATATGAAGCAGAAATAGGAGACAATAAACTTTGGAAGTCAGGAATCAAGAATGGGGCCATGAGAGACGATCAAATAAAATGTACGAAAACAAAAATATAAAGAAAAAACAACAGAAACGAGGTGAGGAACTCCATAAGGTAAGAGAGACTCACATGTTCTCGTGTGCGGCCTTCATGGCTTTGGCGGCGTAGCCCATGTTCTTCAGCACCTCCGTGTTGGTGTTTGCGTTCTCCAGCGCCTCCCTCTGGAACTCGATGGTGGACAGCGTCCCGTCGATCTGCGTCAGCTGCTTCTCGTAGCGCTTTTTCCTCTTCAGGGCCTGCAGGGCCGCTGGTCGGGGAGAAAAACGGGAGGCACAAAATTAACTTTTACGGCTTTTCACCGAGGCTCACGACTGCATTCTTAATCCTTCACCTTCATCCTGGATCTCTACTCCATTTCTTTCCCTGTACAAAATAAAAGCGTGGGTGTTTAACTTCAAGTTTTTGAGTGAAAGTCTCAGCTGTTGGAGGATTCTGAAATGCTGGAACATGAAAAAAGACGGCCTAAGGAAAAAAATTATGCTTTCACGATGTGACATATTTATTTTTTGTGATTACAGTATGTGCAGAGCATCGAGTTCCTCAGAAATGAACAATTCTTCATTCATGAATGAGGCTTTTTCAGTTATCTGATCCCACGTTGAAGCAGCATGACTCAGCATCATCCCGGCAGCCTTGAATCTGGGCATGCAGACACAACACACTCCAGTCAGACTGCCGGCGCTCCACTATCTCCCTTTTGAAGCCTGGCCTCCCATTCCCAGAGTGATACAACGCACCCGAGTTTGGGTCAGAGTTCGGTTTGGAGTCTGGATTAAGGTGTGAGAGTTTGGTTTCAGAGTCTGGATTAAGGTGTGAGGCAGACGTTTAACCAGACGGGAGGTTTTCTGTCGCTTTGCCACATTTATTTATACTTTTACTTTCATAGTTCATTCTGTCTTAACCTTGCCTTTATCTATTCAAGATTATTCTACCATTTCTACCTCTAACAAAGCAGAGTCAGGTTAAGAAAACCTAATTATTCAGACACCTTTAAACAGACAAGGCGCCCCCTTGTGGTGAGTTTACAGAGCTAAAAACAACAGGATTTATCACTAAAAAGCGGGTCAAACCGTTGTTGTTGTGCACTGATTTGAGGGTAAAAAGGTGTGTTGAAATGAGCCGTTTCCCCGTCAGACTCACACAGAAACTGCTGTTTGCTTCCTTTAGAAGCAGTAAAACCTTTCTGCGGCCACGCCCATTTGATAAGCGTGGTAAAACGCCACCTTTTGAAATGGCTTCCATTAGTCACGGGGATGCTTTACATAAGTCAGATGATGTCATGAGTGGCACACGTCACGTGACTGAAAAGGGCTGAGTCCTGCATCAGCCTTTTGGGGAAGGTCGGACGTATTTCCGAGGAGCTAAATGTACTCCGACGACAGTTTCAGTCAAACAAATACGCACAACTTTTCAGATTTTAGACACACGGGCAACAATAAAATCATTTAGTCCCAAAATACACACTGATGTTACGACAAACATTACCAAAAGATGGGATTATGTTGTGGTTTACGGCTCGCAGTGCGCTCAGGTTTCATCCAGATAAACGGCAAAAGTAACAAAGCTGTACTGTAGCATCTCCGGTTTCACATTCAGCCCTCTAATCCACAAACTGACAGTGTGGGGGTGCATCTGGGAGTAAACAGTCTGAGCTCCAGGTCAGCCTCTGTGAGTCCTGTTTTAATGAGATATCCGGGGAAATTAAAGCGTTCCTCATAATGATTCCTTTAAAACTAAAACTAAAATCAAGACTGAATAAGAAGGGGATAAAAGGTTGTTTGCGGTCTTTAGCTGATAAGAGACGGAGTGTCTCAGGGGATAAATTGATCATTTATAACATGTGAATTCTCAGTTTCTGCTGATGGTTACCAAAAATCAAGACCTCACAGATCTACTGTAGTCAGAAAGCAGTCAGACGCAGACGTCACCTCTCATTTCATGAGATTACGTCCAGATTGGCTCCAGAAATACGACTGACGAGCACCACAGATGTCATTATCAGATTATGGGGTTTGCAGATCTCGCATCAACATAAACTACGTTTACCACCGCTGCAGACCGGCAGCAAAACAGAAAGGAAACGCTTAACTGACGTTCTTTATGTTCACTCTTTAGGCTTTGGAAGACAGAAGCGTGCCCTATGTGCCTCATGCACAGTCATTTATGACCACAGGGGTTTATGAACGCTGACGACATGTGAATACTTCCCATTTTTACACTGAGGTGTGTGGAATAAAAGAGAGGCTGACAACTTCCCGTGTGTGTACAGACCTGCTCTGGGGAGGTGTGTGAAAGCTGCCTGTGTTGTCATTTTACCACAAAGAGAAAAAAGTTGTAATGTCACCTTTTCCAACCACCATGTCATCTGGGTAGATGCTCAAAGTAAAAGATGAAAGCGTGCGTGACAGTGAAAGATGGTGGTAGTGCTGAATTTATCACGCATACGCTGATACCACGTCCTGCCAGGTTTGCTATTCCAAATATGTTTGTGTGCTTTCATTCGCCTTCAGGGCTAGATGAAGATAAGCACATGGTAAATAGCCAACTTGAAAATCAGGTTTCAATACTGGAAACAAGACTGTAATCAAATTCAGAACAGGACTTTAAAGATGGCTGGGGGAGCTTCTCGTTTTAGTTCTGAATGTCGGCACAAGATGTTCTGTTGTGGCTTTTCAGAGCTTCCTTTAGCCCCAGTTAGATATGGCTGTTGTCAATCTAACTCGCACTGTAATACATAATTCATTATGTATTACAGTGTTTTTTAAAGGGTTCTGAAAGGATTTTTGTTTTTTGATGGCAATTCGCAAATAGTCTGAACCTCGACAAGCTAATTCAATAAAGAAAAACAACTATCAGCTTTCACAAACACGTCACTACCCCTCTCTGGCAAATATGTGCTCGACCGAAGACTGAAACTACCTGCCTGATCGACACACTTAATCAGGCACACAACGACCACAATGTTGCAGATCAAGTCTGATCCAAAAAACGGTCGATGTGGACCAAACCAAACACACTTTTGTCAAGCAACCCAAACTATTTGAACATTTATATCAATGAAAAAAAGGGAAATCTAGAGAAAATGTACATTCAACTATTCTATAGTAAGTGTTAGCAAGGGTTAATTAAAAGTAAAGGATAAGTGTGAAGAGAAGGAAAAGAGCATCAGGTCAGAAGATCCTGTCCACAAAAATGAAAACAATAAACAAATGTTAGGTGTAAGCTCACAAACATGAGGCATTCAGCTCATTTAAAAGTATATTATGTAAAAGTACATTAATGTAATGTACATTAATGGATCATAATGTCAATAGTATATTTCTACAAACCACGTTTACACAGAATTATGATACATATTGACATATTTCCTGTGAATAGTTTCATATAGTATTTAATGTAAGAAGGAAAGTAACAGCAAAAGCCTTTATGAACTAATTTGTTTAGCTATAACCACTTTGTGAGTCCTCTTTGTTAAATGCAGTTTGACATTACAAGGCAAAGGGGAAGCGTTGGCTTTTCCTACTTCCTGATAACTTTCATGGATCTTCTAGAGCTGTTTGAGGTAAAGTGTTGATGTAAAACTGACTCACTTATTTACATTCAAATGAGCTACACAAACTTGACCAAATTAGCTGTAATTATTTTAAAAGGCGCCGTTTATACTGAGGCAAAATGACAACTGCCTCGATTCTATTTGTTTTCAGCGTCATTCCAACCCTAATTGTGTGTTTTGCGGAGACAAATAGACTATAACGAGCTCCTTAAAGTGACCTGCTCAGTGAAAGCCCCATGACTTGTGCCCAGCTCCAGTGGAGTTAGCCTGTATGCTAACCGGCTAATATGAGGGTGGTTTCTCCAGTAACGCCGAGCAGATGCGGAAGCTTAAAGGTGTCCTCACCTCGCTTGTTTTTAGTGCCATTCTTCTTCGCCGTCATGAGCTCCTGTTCGATCTTCTTCTCTAAAAAATCCTGTTTTTTCGCCAACATCTCCTCCGTCTCCCTGAGTTTCTGGATAGCCTCCTGGGGTGTCGGTCCCTTCCCACCCTTACCCCCGCTGCCGAATAGCTTCCCAAACAACGCCATTTTGTGTCAAACTCGAACCGTAAGTGGAGTTTTGTCGTCCGCGGACACCTGCCACGTTGTGAACGCGACCAGGCAATTATTTGAAGGCTCTTCCTTGTAAACTGTAGCCGCGAGCCGGGCGACCGCTGCCACCGCTGTTGTTTTTGTGTCTTCTTCCGGTTTTCCAGACAGGCCTCGTGATGTCATTACGTCAGCGACCAAACGTGACTCACGCACAGTTACAACTAAAAGGGGATTTCACGGATGAGCCAATGCTGTGCTCGAAGGATTTTAAAGTTATTTTCAACACGTTTTTGTTTTTTTTAAAGATTCCTACACAAGAAAAAATGATAATTTACACGTTTTTTCAAGTGTTTGAAAAATATATATTTTTTTGTTGTAGTTTGTTGGCATGCAAAATTCATTTGGATTATTCAACAATCTTTTTATTGTTAAAAGATTACGTTTAAAATGCTTTTGAGAATTTTCTGCTCAGCTTTTAGACTAGTTTGCAGTTTTTTAAATTTGATTTTGAAAATTGCAATTATTCATATCAACCGCTGGGAGGCAGTGTTGTGAGATGCAGGTAGCAAATGAAATTGAAGTTCAAATTGAAGTTATAGCGTTTAGATACATTTATTGTAGAGAAGAACATGTACTGTGTGGTCAGTGTGCATGTGTTTTAATCCACACTCAGAGTGATGTTAGAGATAAACAGACTGAAAAGGCTCACGCTTCCAGAGGCTCAGCTTCAGGCATCTAGAGGCCAGCCAAGTTCCCTCAGAAAACTACGCCTCCCATGATGCAATGTGCTGCGTTTTTCCAGCTGAAGATGCGAGTGGCTGGAACGCCAACCGATAAAAGCCTGAGTTGTCTGTGGAACAGGAGGGGAGGGGCCAACCTGGAGGTGGGAAATGAACAAATAATCATTATCTATTATAAATAACTGTGTCTGTCCAAAGATACAAGGATAGAAACAGCATACATGGATGTGTTTATGCGTGGAGGTCAGAGGTTGGTCGGTCAGCTCCTTCATCTTCACGCCCTCCATCTCAAACTGAAATACACACGATGGAAAAGGAGTGATGTCCACCGATGTTTGTTCACATTTGTGTGAATGCAAAGATATTTAAACATGTTTGTGTTGATAAAATATCTGTTTATGTACATACACATATGGATGTGTGTGTGTGTGTGTGTGTGTACCTCCTTGTAGGCCTCAGTTAGGAAACCCCACTTCTTTGGCCAGACTTTTGCTGAATCCTTTTCAGTTTTTACATGTGCTTTCCTGTTGAAACACACACCAAAAAATAGTGAAACTTATTTTTTGTATCCAGAGCTTAAAGCGCTGTCAGGAAATTAAGCACTGCCTTCTTTGCTTGAAACACCTTTCAGTTTCTTCAGTGTATCTAAAGCAAAAAGCCCAGTTTTTCATGCCTTTATTTTAATCCCTTAGAAATCCAAAGGTGCACTTCCATCTAAACTCTTTGGAGGTTTGACGAGAACACAGGAAAAACTGTCCAAAAGGATGCGTCTTGTACGAATATGGCAGTTTTGCTAAAACACTGGGAGCTTTCAGTAAAGGGAGTGGTTATAAGCAACAGTTCCCTACACTCCTCTTGAAACATTTCAACCGATTTTTGCTCCAGTTTTGTTATAAAAATGAGAAAGACACTTTAGACACATCGCTTTATATAGTGTTTGAATTCTAAAGTTCTTTTTAGGCCTGTTGCTTGTCATTAAAGTCATTCCAAACAGAAAAATGAAGAAAAAAGTGGACACGATGTGCAATAATCAGAATCAGAATTAGAAATACTTTAATAATCCCAGAGGGAAATTATTTAATTATTGCGTGCTTATGAGAAAAAGAGCATGAATAAAAGGAACTAACACTTTGTGAGGGTACACGCAAAAGCATCACAACTTCTATCATGCTGACAGGTTTTCTGTCAATATGCCAAACATGCAATTACATGTGAAGGTAGCAGAAAGAGCAAACAGGTCAGATTTTACCAGATTTCGTCTTGATGCACAAAGTTGATGGTTTCAGATGTTTGCTGTGAGCCGGCCATCTGTCCCAGGTGTGTGAGTGTGTGAGTGTGTAAGTGTCCAGCTTAAGTTTCACCTGTGTGCAAGAACCTGTTTACTGTTGGCATGGCGACGGCGTTTCCTGACACACATTTGCTCATCTCGTGAGAGTCCCTGAAATGTGGCCGGGGAGGTGGAGATGGAGTGTGTCGGGGGGGATGGACAAAGGCAGAGGGAGCCATTTTCATGTTTTATTTCTAAGTCTTATATATTTATATGCTTTAACCCTATAATGCCAAATGTATCATACTGTATTTCATATGGTTTCTGAGGTCTTTTTGGATCTGAGACTTTTTTGCATCATTCAATGGTAAAAGCTTTGCTCAAAACCCTGTTGTACACATTCAGATATACCTGATAACAGCAAATAGAATACAAGAAAATATATTTTTGACTCATCGCACGCTAATTTGATCAAAATAATTTCAGTTTTTTTTCTTCATATGTTGTTGAGGGGCCAAAGAAAGACTTCAGACTAAAAAAAATCCAATATTCTTCCTATTTTTCTTGGATCGGGCTTGTAAATAGAAAAGAGGCCAAACTGAAAGGTGAATATGTCGATTGTCAGGGGGGTGGATCTTGGAGGGAGGACTCAGTCGCGGAGATTCAGAAAACAGGGTTTATTGTAACAAAAAACTCACTCATGGAGTGGATGGTGACAAAGTTCAAAACACGGCTGTGAGAAAACTGATCAAAGTAGCAAAGCAAGATAAACATGGCTGTGGCAAAAGTATCAAAACAAGACTATGGCAAAACAAGGTTAACAAGACTGTGGCAAAACAAGGCTATGACAAAAACACGGCTATGGTACAAAGTAAATAAGACTATGGCATGGAGAAAAAGAAAAACCTTACGTGACATGGGGAGACGAAAGACGAAAACGCACTGGCACAGGACATGGGAAACGAGGACTATTTAAACACATGAGGGAGGGGAACCCCAGGTGTACGCAATAGGTAATCAAGACATGACGAGACACCAGACATTCCCCCAGACGTGACATCGATAAATGTCCGACAAACGAGCCATTAAGTCAAAGCACGTTGGACATCTGTGGCTGGCAGCTCTTCCCCCTGTAGCAGACGGCCCCCACACACAGAACCGAAGCCCCCAGGACCAGAGCACCAACTCCACCAGCGACGTATCCCCAGTCCGACCAGTCCAGGGAAGACTCTGCGACACAGAGGTGTTGCGTTTTAGTGAACATTGTCGTGGATGTCCTCCTGACGACGTAGTGAATTGTGCTAAGTCTTTCAAAAATTCTATGTTCTTAGAAAAGCAGTTGAAAAATCTCCAACAGTGGTCAAAAAGAAGCAGAGGCAGCTGGGTCTTGGTCCAGTACGGTTTATTGCAGCAATACAAGTCCACCACATGTGAGATGTTAACCTGGCTAACATCTGCCCTATTCCCTATTGAGAAAGTGGTCTGCTTATATACAATCCCTCGGGACTCGGAGACTCCTCCCCGAGCCCCTCCTATTATGACGTAATTTCAGGTACATTTCCACGGATATCTCTGTTATCTTATTTTATACCGGTGGAAATTCACCTAGGGTGCGTATTTTTAAAATGCGCATCCCAGCCCCACCTTCCTGTTTACACGTCATTGCCCATTTCTGTCATTTTCTAGTACCTACCGATGGTTTCTAAGGTGAAATTGACCCTTAGGTTACCCCCATATGGTATGTGTCTACGCATCTCATTATTGCATTCCTCTAGTTTCTTGGGCATTTAGTGCAGGCATTTAGTAAAGTTTGACCTCTGGACCATGTTTTTTTCCACTGCCACACACATTATTTTCTTATACAATTCTTTTCCTTAATATATTTTAAGGCACGCCATTAACTCATTGGCTGCCAAAGACGTCTATAGACGTCTTTTATGTTTTTCAACGAGAGTGGCTTTGGGGGCGATCGGCTAAAGTTTTTCCGTAAATATAGGCTTCCAGACAGAGTATATACTAAAAAATGTATCCTCTAGGTGGCAGTGCCACTTTTGATTGGAGATGAGCATAGACTGTAGGCAAATAAGAAAAACGTAACGGTTCGCTATGAGAGAACATGTCGCCGGTGAGACGCAAGTCGAGGAAGAACGGAATAAGGTAGAAACAATTTTTTTTCCTGATGAAAGAAGAGAGTCTACTCTTTCTTTTGGTGTGTTCGGTGTTTACATAGTCATAGCACAAACTATTCTGTGGCTCTTGAAAAATCAGTCAAAATGCTCAAAAAACTCTGGCAGTACGGGACTCTCTGTTCTGAAAATGGCTGGCAGTCAATGAGTTAATCATTGTGATAAGAATATATTCATTGTAAGATATTAATCCACTACAACATCTCCATGACACAGTGCAGTTTGGGACTCTTTCCTCACCCCACTGGTAGATCTTAGGCTCCCTGAGGCTGGCGTGCTCCACCACGCAGCTGATCCGGTCCTGAGGCCGGGGTCGGAGCTCCAGGTAGGAGTGCACCTGGTAGGTCCAGTCCTCGTTGGACGTGGGGGCGCCGCCGGTCACTCCCTCGCCGACCTCCCGCCCGTTCAGGAGCCAGGTCAGCTTTATGTTTTTAGGGTAGAAGTCGTAAGCGCTGCACGCGAGCACCGGGTCCCGGCCGGGGGGGCGCTCCAGCGCCTGCAGGACCACACTGGGCTCGGCTGGAACCGAGAGTCGGGGTTTCAGTTAGTCCCGTAACCCCTGACCCCTGACCCCGTCACCCCACCGTGTGGTGGAAATGTCAAGGGCTTTTAGCTTAGTTTGGCTTCAGATGTCAGCTGATTAGCCACTTTTCAACCCAATAAGTGTAGTTTTGTGTCAATTTCTTATCCTGTCTGTCAATTTTGGCCCAGTAGAGAGTGTTGATGACATCATACATCACGTTCTGCGTTATCAAACTGAAACATTGAACATTGTTCATTGAACTCCACTGGTTACCTTTGGCTGCCCGTATCAAATTCAAGTCCCTGATGTTAGCCTACAAAGTGCTTAAGGGTACGGCTCCCATCTACTTGAATCCTCTTGGAAAGGCTCATGTCACAACTCGATCACTCCGGTCATCAGTGGATTGTGGTCTAGCAGAGCCTTCACCAGCTTAAGACCATCCAGACTGTTTAATGTGTCGATCCAAGATGGTGGAACCACCTACCAAGCGCCACAAGAACAGCAGCGTCCCTGTCTGTCTTCAAGAAACTCTTGAAGACCCACCTCTTTAAAGAGCATGTCCTATCCTAACCCTAACCCGTACCTCTACCCCCTACAGCTCCTATCCTAACCCTAACCCCTACCTCTACCCCCCACAGCTCCTTCTGTAGTCCCTCTACCTCTATCTCTATCTCACCACTGACTCTGATCAGTGTTTCTCCTCTGTATAGCTTATTGTCATAGTGATGAGAAATGTAATATTGTGTCTACTCTGTAAGTCGCTTTGGATAAAAGCGTCTGCCAAATGCATAAACATAAACACATAAACATAAACATAAACATAAACAATTTTTTCAGGTGCCCCCCTCAGATCATATGCCAAATATGATCCAGTTTTTGTTTGTTTTTTTCCTTTTCTTAAAGCGGTAGGTTTTGTATTCTATGTCCTTTATCCTAAAGGATTAATCCTAAAGTTTCAAGTTTTAGTAGTTTTTTTCCTGTCGTTGCCCACAAGAACCTGTGACGGGACGGTAAATGGCCTTATACTTATATTCTTATCGTTCTGTTTTTTCACTGATTTACTGTCAAAAAGACGTAATAGCTAAAAGCACGTCAAAAATGAACCCAACAAAGTGGCTAGAGTTGAATTTTATCAATAGGGGCCATTCATACAGATGAGGCTGTGCGGATCGATGTAAAATGCAGGCTTTTTCAGTGTGTTTGTGAAGGAAAAAGTGGAAAAAGTTCAGACTTTATGCAAGATGTTTGTCTTAAAGTATACTTTGTGAGACCATTTTTTGTGTTTGCAACAGTTCTGAACAGCACGATGCATGGACTGGGACTAACAGCCCGGGTTCATATCACCACAGACATTACACGTTATTTTTCCAAAACCTAACCACACCAACGTGATGCCTAAACCTGAGCAAACCGGGGGTTCATTTGGCCCCTATTTGCAACGATTAACAGCCAAAGTTCAAGTGAACACAAACTATCTCGACACGCACTAGTTCCTGGCTTTTTTTTTGTTTCTTTTTGCAATCAACTCAGTGCAATAATCATTGATGTTTCTTTTGTAATAACTCTGTGCAATAATATGTGTATATATGCTGTTACCCTGTATATATCTAGCTCTTGGATATAGAAAACATATTTATTATGTAGGAATAAGGTCTTAGCTCTGTCACACTGGTAGCCAAGTAATCGACATTTCGTTGTCAAGATTCACCTTGTGTTTTTTGTACAATGACAATAAAGGAAGTCTAAGTCTAAGTCTAAGTCTAAGTCTAAGTCTAAGAAATTCACCGGTGTTCTCTTCGGTTGCGTTGTACAGCTGGTCCACGTGGTCGACACATATGAGCATCTTCTCCAGCCTCCTCTGCAGAACATCGTGCTCGTCCTGGTTGAAAGCGCCGGCCGTGAGCCGTCCGGCGGCGGTGAGGCCCGTCCAGTTCCCCGCCGTGCTGTTGTACCGCATGGTGAGCTCCCCGCCGAAGTACCAGTCCACCAGGTAGACCACCTCCCCGGGGTCCCGGGAGGGCGCCGCACACCAGAAGTCAGCGAACATGAAGTAGCCGCCTCCATCAGAGGAGCAATCTGAGAGGAGACAGTCAAAGGGATGGTAACCCGGTTCCAGAGTAGATCAAAACTATAAGAAATTACATTTATTTTTATTTTTATTATTTTATTTATTTATTTTTTATTTTATTATTTTATTAATTTAATTTAATTTAATTTAATTTAATTCTATTTTATTTTATTTTATTTTATTTAATTTTATGTTTTTATTTTTTAATTTTTTAATTTTTTTATTTTTTATTATTATTATTATTATTTTTTAAATAAAAATACAAATAAAAAAACCTCCGTGTGCGATGGGAATTTATCTCCTGGGCTGGGCACACCCCTCAAAAAGGACTGGACACTGCTTATTGGCCAGTTACTTAGTAACCCTAACCCTGACATGAACTGGCCAGGTCCTAAATCATGCAGATAACATTGAAATTGGTAAAAAAGGAGAGTGTGTGTGTTGACCTGATGGAATGTGATATAAATGGTGTGGATCTAATGCAATCAGAGAAAGAAAACAGAGTCTTTAACACAAAGTTATAGTTGTATAAGGAATACAACAATTAGTAATCGATCATGTGATAGCATACTGTGCTAAAGTGAGTAATTATAACCAAATTCTAACAGGAAGGAGTCAGGTTTTTCTGATTGGATGATGGTTGAGGTGGCGTACAGTGCAGGTTCTGGTCCGGCAGCATTTGTCGGTTTGTTCCCAGTGATCAGCGTTTCATTGGCTGTCTTTCCTGATTCCTTTGTTGCACAAGGGGAAGCCATTTTGCTTGTGGCTCCTTGACTTTGCTTTCCACTCAAAGCGGAGAGTGGCTGTTAAATGAAAGTTACTTTAGGTTTTAATTTGACAGGATGGGCTCTCGTGGATATGGACATTTGGAGGGATTTCTGATCTAAAAAAGATGAAAAAATCAACCCTTTTCCTGAATAAAGGGTTAGAGTTATAATTGTGTAATATTGTTGAGTTTGAGCTTGACTTTCCAACTGAACATCGGTTCATTTGCAAACAGTTGCACTTGTTTTTATTAATTTCCATTGTATAAAGAACACAATAAAACAGATTAAGAAATGTAGAACGTTACAGTCTGACTATTTGATGCTCTGGACTATACGAAGTCCTCAAAGTTTGGCTGCTGTCCGGAGTCATAAGAGTTGATTAATTGGTCATTTTAGCCAACTATTAGACTTTTGTCCCTCAGAATAAAATAATGACACCAAACAAACTTGTCATTACTACTTTGGCTGACTGTTTTTTAATCATTAATCCGCCAGTGATCCTGCAAGCTGAAGTAAAAGGTCATGAAATAATATGAACCTGTTGATAAAATAAGCTCAACCGGCTAACAAACCCCAGTACAATCATAGGTCAAATGGTCCAGAATACATGTTATAAACACGCCATATAAAAGCTTCACAGGTTTCTCACTCATGTTCTGCACAAGCTAAATGTTTTTGACAGCCGCTGATGCTTCGAAGTATCACTTCCCCATTCAGACCTGCAGAAAATGAGGACAAAATGTTCACCGCCGAACCACTGTAGACATGAACTGGGTTCAGCTTGAGGTTTGTTAAAAGCAATGAAACCGAAAATTAACCTGCAGAGTGAAGGAAAAGCAGTCCCTTTTCATCCCAATCTGTATTTCCAAACCAGGGCCTCAACGCATGTCTATGTTGGTACAGAATATTCAAAAAGATTATTTAAACATTTTGGGCCTTTTTACAACTTCCCCAAAACAAATCTGAAGTCTTTAAAGCAATTTCTAACTGAAATCCCCTTTAGTTTTAGCTGAAATGTTGAGAATGATGCTTTTCTACTGTTTTTTTTAAACATTTGAATACAAGATGACTACTACCGACAGCATTTTGAGATGTCTGGGAAACATACCCAGCTATTGTAAAAAGAAGGACTGACTCACCGACAGCAGACGTGGAGAAGACGCAGAGGAACAGCAGATATTTGAAGCTCCTCGTGTCGAAAGCAAAGCTATAGTCAGCCAGATGTGGAAGCCCCAAACTGAAAGATGAGCCTCTGGTCGCCCTGGTCCCCTTCCATTTATAGCAGGGATAACGCATTTAAACACAAACTAAGCTTTGGGAAACAATTTCAAGAAATTTTAGCACATAGATTGGGAAAGATTTGGGAAGGATTCGTTGACTATTTGTTAACTTCAGGCATTTTCAGGAGCGAGTTTAGACACTCGCGTCAGCTAACAGCAGCAGAGTGAAACATGAAGCTGAACGGTTCCTCTTTTTCTTTTTACACCACCAAAAACGATTCCACTTTCCTCTGTGTTTTCAGTGTTTATGTATGACGTATTTATAAAAAAAAAAGGCCCAAACTGCTGATTTTTGGGCGGAAAATATAGATATCCCCGTAACGCCAAATGTATCATATTTGATACATACGGTTTCTGACACCTTTTGCATAATTTAATGGATAAAACTTTGCTCAAAATCCTATTGTACACAATCAGATACACCTGATAACAGGGCGCGGAAGACTACACGAAAAATAATCTTGACTTATCGCATAATAATAAATTATCAATATAAAAAATGTATTTAGGGGGGCCACTGCCAGCGGCAAGGCCCACCTATTACTCTTCGCCATATTTATTCCGTCACTTATTCTGTTTTTTCTTTTTACATATTTTGTTAAAAGGGCAAATAAGGAATTCAAACAAAAAAAAAGTAATTTTCTGTTTTGTTTTATTCTTGGATCAGGGTTTAAAGGGTTAATAACGATCCCAAGATAGGGATATTCCATATTTTAGCAGGTCGAATGGAATCGTCTGATACACATTGACTCATCGCATAGTAATAAATTATTAATATAAAAAATGTATTTGTTATTTCTATTTAGATATTTTGTTAAAAGGCCAAATAAAGACTTAAAACCTAAAAAATAAATAAATTCTGTTTTGTTTTATTCTTGGATCGGGCTTTAAAGGAATATGAAACGACACAGATTCAAATAAACTGTGTCCTTTTATTAATCTTCAACCAACAAAAGACATGGTGTTCAGTTAACGAAAGCATTTAATACATGCCGCAGTGATAAATAACATTTTTAAGCAGGTGTATAATCATCAATAGCTGTAAAAGTCTGAATAAGACGCAGCTGGAACAGCTGGAAGCTAATAAAGCCAGTATTTCTTATGGGGTTGCAGTTCCTCTTTCTGTCTACTAGGTGTCACTATCTGCCTGTTCAACGTTGAAATAGTCTCTTCAAACATCACCATCCTGGTTTTGGGTTCCTTCTCTCAGCCTATCTACAGAAATATCATGAAAAAAAGGAGCCGCATCAGCAGGAATTAAATAAATCTCGGCTTCACAATTCCTGTTTTCTGTTAAAATGGACAATGATTTAGTTCAAATCAATGAAAACAGGTTGAAACTTGTTCCTCTAAATGTGCCATAATAGAAGGGGCAATTGAACTAATTCATTCAACATTACAGTTCTTTGTGGTCATTTTCTATAAAAAATGCTCATTTTAATGCCGACAGACATGAATAAAGCCAAAATGGTCTCCCAGAACAGCAAATAATGGCCGACATTTGCTGAACGATCTACTATTATCATCATTAAACGGCACCGGGCTTTGGTTTTTGATACCTAACAATGGAAGGTTTTGTGCTTTTGACACATTTCCCTGAAGAAAAGACACAAAATTTAATATTAAGTAATCTTCTATGATAATCCATTATACTCATGTTGTCCGTTTTACTCATTCTAAAAAGCACTTAAATACTTAAATCCTTTTAGTTTCTATTTTCATCTCATATTCTCGAACATTTTGTCGTTCAGGGAATGTAAATGAGTTTTGGACGTCAGTTTTGTGTCCAAACAATGGACCTTAACCGCCGTGCTCTCATGTCACATCTATTCTTCATAGTAATTGAGGCGGTTTTATGATCTGTGGGCCTCAGATGTGTTTCAGCTGATTTTCATTCTGTAACTCTTATGCATTTCCTCTGTTATCTGAACCTCCTCTCCTCACTGATAACCGATTTTTTATTCCGTCGACTGTACAGAATTATCTCCAGATAAGCTAAAGTACATAAGCTTGCTTTGTAAGTGTACTATAAAGGATCGTAATCTTCCAAGATAAAAAAAATCCTGCCTTTGATGGGTCTGTGGTTTGCACACCCCTCAGAAATTTGGACCGAGGTGTCATACGTGTGTGTGACCGGTTGGGGCAGGAGAGGGCCGGATTTAACCAGAAACAGGGTCAGAAGATGATTACGGGGTTGTCAAATGTTTAAACCAAGTTTGCTAAGAAATGTCAAAGGTGAGTGTTTCAATCCAAAGTGAAAAATGTACTGAGACAAGGATCATTTTCATCTCATCCTTTTGGGGAAATATCCAGTTTTATCAGGCCTGAGCTGGCTGGTGGGACTCTTTGAGGAACCCATCTGCAAGGAAATAAAGACCTGAATAAAGGCCTGAAAGCCTGATAAAAAACTAGAAAAACAAAAACATGCATCATATCCTGTGAGCCCTGTAGAACACAACATAAGTAATAAGTAACCGTCACACATTTTTGCATATTTGGCCGCTAGCTTTGAGGCTCACCTATGCAAAAATTCAGTAAATAAAGAGTTTTCTCAAGGACAGAATGAACAAAAATCTCATGTAATTGCATGTCATTTCAACAAATCGAGACTATCTTATGATTGAAATGCATTAAATATGAGCTGGGGAGTGTGCATATCTGAAAATTATAAATTAGTTTCTTCATCTAAGCTTCACAGAAGAAAAAAAACCTGGTTGGATGTTTGTAGAGTGCATCTTCTGGAGTTCTAACCCATGTGAGATAATGATGCGATAGCTCAAAAACATCGAGTTTAACGCTGTAGGTTCTTCCTGGGGTAAGCAAAAATAGATCAAACTTTGGGGGGAAAATGTCATTTCCGGCATTATTTCATCCATTTGTGGATGTTTCATTTCATTCATCCCTGTGTCTGTTTGCAGGTTGCTTTGGTTGTCGTTGTTTTTTCTCTCTTTAAAGGGTCTTTCTTCTTTTTCGGGGTGGTTTATTTTTCTTTGCTTTCCCTTTTTCCCTGTTCCCCGATCAGGTCTGGCATTATAAGATACATCAGTCTAGAAACAAAAGTAAATAAAAAAGCAGGATTAGATCGTCAAAGGGGGGCTTTTCACCCAAAAAGCCTTTCTTGGGAAAATATTCGGAACAGCACTTTGCTCAGATCTGAATTCAGGCGGAGGTGGAACACAACAACTCCAAACTCCAAATAAAGGCGCGCTCTTAACTCTGAATGCGTCTTTTTGACGTGCACACGGCTCAAATGACTGGACTATCTGCTGCCGGGCGGCTGCTATTGATCAGAGCTGAGCGGTCAGCACTGATCTGTGTGCGTTTTTTTGCCCCCAGAAAGGTCCCGAAAAGGCCCAGCAGCTCTGGGACCGAGACCGTGCACAAAAGCCGGTCAGGACTCGGTTCAAAGCATCCATATCAGTCTTCATAACGAACCTAATACTATCATTCATTTTGAAATGTGAGACTTTATTTGTAGAACTTTACACTTTGTGGGGGGGAAACCACGATCGATGTTTGGAGCAGGACTCCCGGGGTGATGGCAGTTAATTAATCTGAATTTCTCGACGACGTTCTTGGTTTCCGGTAACGATCGGAAAACCGAGACAGGCTCTGTGGTGATAGGATTTCTCCCCGGTGGGGGGGGAAACCGGGGTGGGGGGGGGGGGGGGGGACCGGTGGGGCCGGATCCAGCTGCCCACAGCTCGTCTTTAACAGCTCTAAGTTGATTGAATCAGCTTGATTTGTGATGATCTAATCTGATGATCCAGAGAGTGTCAGAGCTCAGGCCGCGCCCATTTATTAATCTAGTCTGGTATTTCTACACTTTACACTTCTACGTTTCAATAGAAAGGATTCTAACTTATTTTGCCATTCTGAGGCCTGGTGAGCCAGGACTTATTTAGTTAAAAAACCTATCTGGCCTTCTCGACGACTTCTAGAAGCTTGAAAACAAAAAAA